GAATTTCCTTTGAATAAAAGGGGGCCTAACGATTCTAACCTGTCGTGGTTCCCTGAGTAGAGTTGACAGTTTAGTAAGAAACCATCGCATAACATGAAGATCGGCATACCACATTATGCAGGCAGTAGTTGTACTTGTCCCACTTTCTTACTGCATCCTTTATTTGCTTTAAAATAAACAAATCTAGTATGACATATGATGCATTCTAAATTTCTAATCCTATTTAGATGGATAGTATTAGGATGTATCATATAATGTAATATATTTGTTTATTTAGTAGAAAGGAGTATGTAACTTTACAGAAACGGTAACAATGAAAACAATAAATAAACACATAAAAAGGGAGACGGAATAATCTGTTGTTCTACCTACTGCCAATCTCCATGGTTTACCAAATTTTCTTCGAGATAATGTTTTTTTTAACTAATATGGTAGTGATGGAATATATTTCTAAGGGTAGTTAACGTATTTTTAAATACCTGCTAGTATATGTGACCTATATAGGGGATGCAATTTGTAATTAACAGGAGTACAATAAATCATATGTCCATCTATTTAAATTCTCTAAAAAATTCTAACGGATAGAGTAAATTAGTATAATTGTAATTAGGCTTATCCATCCATGCATGTTTTTTTGCGGTAACAGTAGCATATTACCATCATCATCCCATGTTAAGCCCTGATTCATTCATGGCTGTTTTGCTACGTGATCCACGACGTATATATATACCGAGAGCGTGCGTGAGCGGCCGGCGGCAGAGCACCGGGCCCACATGGCAGTGGAACCGCCGGTCTGACCAGCTCGCTAGGCTCTGCGCCGCATTTCCCTATGTGGCTGTCGAACAGGCCCCACATATGGGTCGCGTCGTATACCAAACGGAGACCGTGGCAGTATAGTACTATCGTGACGGAGAGTCGGAGAGAGACCCTACGTGACGTCACGGCGTGACACGTCGCGCCGTTTTGTCCAGCGAAACGGCGTGCCGTGATGGCACCAAAAACCACTTGCAAGGAACTAAGGAACTAAGGGCATCCACAATGGTTATATATAGGCTCTTTACAAGATATCTATGTCAACATATTTTTCTATTTGGAAGAGATTAAATGAAGAGAGAGAGCAAATCTATCTACTAACCTGGAGATAGTCTATAGAGAAAAACGAGACAATGGATTAGAGAGCTATAGATACCCATGTGTAGATATACTATTGAGGTGGTATACTATTAATCTAGTCTATTGCTGAGATGTAAATGTTTTATAGATAACACTTTACTTTACCATTGCGGGTGCTTTAAGGAAGGGCACGTGCTGGCGATGAAAAGTCAGGTTTTTTAAAGGCCAAACTGATATTCCAACGTTCCAAAGCGTCGACCAATCTGAATGAATCGTTTTGAGCCACAACATGCCGCTGGATATCCCAATCATCTTAGCTAGCGGACCCATACTTATAATTAGGGATGAAAACGGTCGGAAACGATCGGAAAACAGCCTCAACCATTTCCGTAACCATATTTTTCTCGGAAACGAAATCGGAAACGGTAAAGTCGGAAACGAAAACGATATCGGAAATATCGGAAAACCGGAAACGGAACAATACGGACGGAAACATGTCGGTACAGATCGGAAACCGGTAACAAATACGGAAACATTAAACTATAAAAACATATATTTAACTTTACATAACTATGTTATATATATACATAAATTCAAGCTTATACTATATAAATTATAAATTAACTTCATTTTAGCCATGTACAAAAGTTAGAGATTTTATTGAAGAGTCATTCAATCTATAAGCTGTGGGTCAAGTATAAACATGTCCTATAATATCGACATATTTAGAATACGATAATTACCATATTATAAGAAACGGTAATTTCCGCAAGAATACGGTAAATACGGAAACGATCGGTATAACAGCAAAACCATTTCCGTTTTCATTTCCATATTTTTTACCATTTCTATTTTTGTTTCAGTCGATTACCATTTCCATATGGCTCGGCCGGTAGAAAGTCGAAAACGAACGCCGGTCGGCCGGTAATTACCGTTACCGTTTTCACCCCTACTTATAATCATACTTCTTTTTTTACTAAGAACATACACAATTTCATTTGTGAACGCTAGGATTAAATCCTTAATTATGAATGGATTCATGTACTAAGGTGTGACGAATCTACCACCATACTTATTCACTATTAATTCAGATTTCAGAATACTTCACTAGTTTCAATCTATCGTGACAAGAGGATTTCTAGAAACACAATTTTTTTAACTTCTACTCCCTCGTTTTCAGCACGTACATTTTTCGAACTGCTAAACGTTGTGTTTTTAAAACGTTGTGTTTTTAAAAGTTATATATATAGGAAATTTGTCTTAAAAATCATATTAATTTATTTTTGTGTTTTTAAGCTAATACTTACTTCCTCTATCCCAGAATGTAAGCATTTTTTTAAGGTAGATATGGGTACTAAGAAAGTAGGTGGAGATGATTGAAGAAAGGATTGTGATTGGTGGAGAAGAAAAAGTAAGTAAAGAGAATGGTTGTGATTGGTTGAGATAAGAGGGTAGGTGAAGAAATAGCTTCGTTTTGAGACAAGTTACTGTGTTAGAAATAGTTACATTTTGGGATAGAGGTAGTAATTAATCATACGCTAATCCACTACTCTATTTGCTTGTCGAGGGAGAAGGATTCCTAATCCCTTAAAAGAACACAATCTGCAGCTCCGTTTTACCTGTTGGGTGGGAAATGTTCCTAACCTTTCACAACGAAAGCATCTTTAGATTTTTGGAGAGATACAAGTTAATTTGTAATTTGTAGTTCTTAATTGTCTCACGAAAGAGAGAGTAATACAAATGGATGTCCGTGTGTCCTTGAAAATACATATTTGACTAGTCTTTGCAGATTGGGATAAATTTGGCTATAATTAGTTTTATACCTTAAAAGTCTATATGTTCCTGTGCTCACTTCGCTACTTTGATCACATGTGCACAAAATACTTAATTTGTATTCATAGAATCGTCACATATTATGGGACTTTCGGGAACATTGGCAACAGGAGTGCACCCGCTGTGCTGCAACCGTGTAGCGCGGTTCAAGGCAGTCAGTCATCTTCAGTCGTATTGCTGAACAACACCTATAAGCAAGATAGCAAGGACAAAGAGGACGATTTTTATGGATTCATACTGTGTGCATAACTGAATTGCTAGCCACCACAATTGAAACAAAGTTGTTCAACTCCACAAATCTTGCATCTAAAAATCAATAACCTCGGATGAAAAAAAAACTTATAAGACTGCGTTCGTTGGTTGGGGACGAGAACTAATCCCTTCAGGACACAAACCGAAATGACTCATTAGCGATTAATTAAGTATCAGTCCATTCTTTTTGAAAAATATATTAATATGATTTTTTTAAAAACAACTTTCATATAAAATATTTTGTAAAATACACACCGTTTGAGAAGCGTGCGCGCAGAAAATGAGAGGGTGAGTTGGGAAAGGTGAGGGTATAACACAACCTAATAATTCTTAAAAACTAATGATATTTTACTTATGATAATCAACTTACTATAGTTATCCTTTAAATTGAGAGAAAATGTTTGGAATTAATAAACTGCGAAAGACTTCTTATTAGAAATAGAGAATGTTAGGACTTGGACATGAGGACATCTGCGGGTTGGTGACACAAATGGCCTATCTATCCATCGACCTCAAATACGTATGCATATACCCGAGATATGAAAGATTCCACCATTTCTATCTAAGGCCGCACAAAACCCACGGAACAAGAACACTTACATGTGGGCCTCCTCCTTTAAACTTGGCTCCACAGGCCCGTGCAGTTTGCCTGTCGCTCTAGCCATTTATTAGCAGCCTGTACGGCTGACACCTGGGCCCAGTACCGGCGCCGTCGCTTTACGCATACCGAACGGGACTGAAAAAAGAAAAACGGATAGCCCTCCAGTAGTCCAGTTCCAGTCGGTCCGTGCGTGGCGCATGCCCCGTTACAGAAGATCCAAGCCTCCAATTTAAGGGCACGAAATGGCAGGAGCAACGCACACAGACACAGGACATTGCTCACACACACAGGACATTTGCTGCTACTCGATCGACCAGTCCAGGCACTGGCACATTTCATCCCATTTCTTTTTTCATTTAAAGCCCAAGGACGTCGTGTGAGGCTGACCAATCATATGGGCTCGTGCTTCGATGGCGGTTTGTACTGCCACACCTGCCTCTCCCTCAATGTGACCGCGTTGTTTGAATTTGATGCTGGTGATTGGGGACAAACACACTCGATCTTGTGAACTGTAGTGTCTCATGCCAGCATCACGAGTGCTTACCTCTGTCCCATATTATTGTCTTTTTAAATTTTTATTTGTCAATATTTGATCATTCGTCTTATTTAAAAAATTTTAGAATTATTATTTATTTTGTTTGTCATTTGCTTTATTGTCAAAATTACTTTACATATGACTTATCCTTTTTTATATTTGCACTAGTTTTTTAAATAAAACGAATGGTCAAACGTTACAAATAAAAAGTTAAAAACGTCATCTATTATGGGACGGAGGGAGTACTAAGCTCCCATCTCCAATCTTTTCTCCAGTTTTCATCATCTGATTTGCGATCGGGTTGCGTCCGAGAGATACAACAGGTTAAAAAAATCTACAGTTGGACTAGCCTTTTCGAGCTTCCAACGATGATAACGTCGCGTCATGGTTGTCCCACGTTAACCCCAACAGGTGGCGGGGGCCAACGAATCCCAAAACGACCCAACCACCAATTCCCACAAGTACCCGAAGCCTAACCCAACCACGGCTATAACTACGGGCCACCGTGTGTACCACCCCCCACGAACACACGCATAAACATGGATCAAACCTATGTCAAGTTCAAACAGATCGAACACACAAATATGGAAAAAAAAAAACAAAGGGCAAAGCGATCGAAGAACCGGGAAAAGCTACAGCTCGTGCCGCACTGCATTGAGCAGATGATCACCAAACCATGTAACCTGGGAGATGGAAGAGAGATCGAGTACAGTGCAAGGCATGGCAGCCTTTTGATGGATTAGGACTAGATTACAACAATACAAGCACACATGCGCTCCACTGTGCATAAATACATCAGCTGGAAACCAAAGCCCTGATCGATCAGATCTTTTTTCGTAGGAGGAGAAAGTTCAAAAGATGGGACATTGCAAGCACAGCACAGGTACCTATCATCAACTCGACGCACTAAACCTAGTTACATTTTTCTTTTCAATTCATAAAGCTAGGAGGATGTGATGAAGAAAGTGTGGAGCTGACTGGCCGGCTGGCCAGCCGGAGCTGGTGCTGGGGTGGTGGTGCTAGTCGTCGGGGACCTTGTAGGCGTCGGCGGTGATCTCGGTCAGCCACAGCCCCGGGAACAGCGACTGCACGAGACAGTTGCTAGTGTTATTATTAGCTGGATCATTAGTGGTATTATTCTCGCGCTCGCGAACAAGAATTGATTAGAGTATTAAGCGGAGGCTGAAAGCATATCGAGGAGAGCAATAAAATATGGGGTTCTTTTTTTCTCTAATGAGGGTGATTAGGAGATTAGGAGGGGGTGAGGGGTAGAATGGGGAATTGGGCTTACATCGAGCTGCCGCTGGACGACGCGAGGCCGTTTCCGAGGCCGCCGCCGCGGCCGGCCGCCGGTCAGGGCGTACATGTCCTCCTCGATCTCCTCCGCCGCGAGTGCCACCGCGAACGGCGGTCGCTCGCCGCCACCCCGTGTGGTGTCCGCTCGTCTCGCCCACGCCGTCGTGGGCGACGCCGCCGTGCTACCGCGGGCCGAGGGACGGCGCTTCCGCTCTCTAAGGTTCCACGGCCTGGCCGCCGCCGCCGCCGCCGCCACAGATGTATCAGGTGGAGGAGGCGGAGGCGGTGGGAGCGGCGCCGGTGCCGGAGGCGTCTCGGGCTCCGGCGACCGAGGCTGCGGCTTCGGTTGAGGAAGGTGGAGGCGGTCGGCGACGTCCTTGATGTGGCCCATGAGCTTCGCTCGTAGATCCTCTAGCCCGCCGTCGTAAGCCTCCACCACCTCCTCCTCATCTACGGCGCCGGCGTCGGTGGTGGTGCCGCCCCGTCGGTGGGACGACGACGAGGAGGAGCGGCGCCGATCGCGGGCGGGCCTAGCGCCGCCTCCGCCTCCTCCGGAGACTGCCGGCAAGGACGGCACGCGGTGGGAACGAGGCGTCGGGGTGGGCACCCACGGCTTCAGGTGGTGCGCCGTCGGCGGCTTCGCCCTCGGATCCGCGGTCGCCGCCATGGTCGTCCACAAACCCCACCTACGGTCGGCGCGCGGCGGCCGCCCACTGCGGCTCCTGCGGACTCACAGGCAGGCGCAGCCTACGTAACAGCCCGGCACGCAGCCGTGTCGCCGTCGAGACGGCGGCGTCGGCGGCGGCGGCGGCGGAGACAAGTAAGAGGGAGTCAGGCGAGGCGTGGGTTGAGAACGTGGTAGACAAAACACAGGAGAGAGAGAAAGAAAGAAAGAGAGACGGGTCGGGTCCGCGTCTCGTCGCGTTTTGTGATGAAGGAATGCGTCGCGAGAGGAGGGTAGTTCGGGTAATTCTTTCCTCGCGGGGGGTACGACACGCGCGTCGGGGTCTCTGGGTGTAGCGAATCGCCGGCGGAGGGGGCCCAACCTGCAGCGAGGGATCACGCGCGAGGGTCCGCGTGCGAGTAGCAGCGAAGCGAGGCCCCGGTGGATTTTCGTCTGGGAATTTCCGTGCGGGGCCAGGAGGTCAGTAAAAACGAAGCACACGGTGGACCTGGAATTTCCGGCGGTGCGGCGGGTGGTGGATGTGCGCCGTGCGGCACACTGCCGTCTGTCTGGCTCACCCCGCCCTCGGACCGGGCCCACCACACAGTGGCTCTCCGTGTGTGGCCCCCACGGTGAAAAGCTCCTGCTCTGCCGTCCCTCTGCTTCGACTGCGTGGTTGGTTGCACGGCAACACGTAACCACCTCGTATAAGTCGCTGCAGCACCCAACTTTTGTGCAGTGGCCTAGCTAGCACGCTCCAGCTAGATGGACACTAGTACTAGGAGTTTAGTATGTTTACCCTAGTAGGAGTGGAGTACTACAGTACTCCATTCGAGCATGTGCAAGGTGCTATGTACTGTACGTAACCAGGTGGGGGCGAGGAGTATGCAACGGGTACGGAAAGATTAATTTTGATCTCGCAAAAATTGCCGTATGCAAATTGCGCGAAAGTTTACCAACGGCGAAGTGCATGGGAGGAAAACGGGAGAGCGAGCTGAGCTACTAGCTAGGAACGGCGCTGTCACGTTGGTGTAAAGCCTCAACTAACTAGCAAGCACCCTGCAAAAGCTTTGCTTGTCTGATGATCAACAATAGTGTGGAACGTGATGGCGCGCCAAGTGTGTTATTTGTTGGGAGCTGAAGGGAATTGTAAAATTATGTGGATTATATCGTCGTGTCATCTTGTTAAGGGCTTCTTGGTTATAAAAAAAAAAGCGAACGATCTGGATAGCTTGAAAGTTTAGCTTGTCATCAGCCTGCACCGCTAGCGGCGAGTACTATAACTATAGGAGCAAATATGCGATTGTACAAGTTTTTTTTTTTAAAAAAAAAACGACTTCGCAAGCTTTTATATTGTACTACTATATCATATATCCATTGACATTTTATCCATTGATACATCATACATGAGCACACACAATCTTTGTTGATTATTTCGTCCTACAGTACGTCTGATTAAGCCTAGAGCTAAGCAACAAGCCCAAAGTAGACATGCTATTAATGAACTTGATAAGACAACAGAACCGTCCTATATATAGTCTCCGATGGTAAAACGAGAAAATGAATCATCAGACGGATATCATAACCATCAACATCAAGGACTTGTTCAGATTATAGCCAAAATAAACCTTATCAATTTTAGCAATACCAAAATTTTGGTAAGATGACAATATTATCAAAATTTTTGTAGAATTTCTTACGCATTTATCAAATTTGACAACAAACTAAACGTATATATTTTCTTGACAACTTTATCAAAAATAATATAGTTGAAAATAGCATCAAAGTGAAACAGGCGCCAACAATAAGCAACAAGCTAGTACTACTAGCAACTCCTCCATCGGATTCGGGAGGCATCTCCCTTTCAGTCAGCCTAGCACAACAGGATAATCCTCTGTGCCGCAGGTTATGATCATCAAGAGCTAGCCAGCCCAATCAACGTCGCATTTGCCACAAATTAAACGCCAAGCACGACCTAACCCCGGCCGAGGAATTGTAGTCGTACGTCCTTCTTAATTCTTCCGGGGCGGCATCAGTACGTGCGTGTACAAGTCGCTCGTCAGGCCGTCAGCGTCAGATTGCGTATGTTGCGTCAAGGCTCGAGACCAACCACCACATCCCAGGCACAGCATATATGCATCGCAGTCTCGCAGACGATCGATGGAGAACGCCAAAGGGTGATCGATCATCGATGGATGGAGGCGTTGTCGCCGGTAAGATTTTGCAAAGGTTCACGTCGTTTCTCATGGCTGGCGTCAAACTTCGATCTGGTTCAAGGGCATGTATAATGGTTGTTAATAGTGGTCTCTTAGCGTTGCTAATTAGGAATACTTGTTGACATGGAGGAAAGAGAAAGAGGAGATACAAAACATCGTTGTTATGCATGACAACGGCTTAACAACGACTCTTAGTCACTATAATATGGAAATATGGTTGCATGAGGATATAAATATGGAAATAATATTAACAAAAGGAATATTTTTTGAGTTAATGATTAGAGCCTTTATTGTCTCAACTATTATAAAGATATGATCTCTAAATAATCTTGTATTGTTTAAGAGAACATACTCGTCTCTACCATTGAACATGCCCTAATTTGCCTCTCGCTAGCTGGGTTTCTCTAGCTGCAGTTGCGGCTGGTGGCTTGGATTTGCACGGTTGATATGGACACCTTCTTCTCGCTGCTTTGGTTGCAAGAGTAACCGTGCCGTGGACCGTGAGTGGTGCATGGATTGGAGAGCTAGCTAGATGTTGTTTGCAGACAGAGGATGCACCTGCACGTGGTTCCTTCGAAAAGCCCACGGTCGACATGCGGTCACGCACGCTGGGGGAAGCATCGCGCATATGGCCGGGGAGAACGATGGAGATCGTTATTTTCGATCGTACCTCGAAGTAGGGATGCAAGTGATAGTAACGCTACTACCCACGTAAAAACTCGTTTGCTAGTTTATTTCTCATATGATAGTATAAAATTTAGAAGAAAAAATAAACTAGAAATGAGATAAGCGGGCTAAAAAAATCTGCTTGTCCGCCCCATTTACATCCCTACCTCGAAGACTCGTCTATCATTATTTTTTGTTCAAAAGAAAATCAATCAATAACATGTAATTATAAATTTGACTTCTATCGTATCAAACAGCAGATTTAACTTAATATCACAAATTTATCAAAAAAAAAGCAAGTATTGATCTAGTATCTTATCAATTATAATATCTTTTTAGACTACATTCCTTAAGGACAAATAGACTTTCCCTGCATAAACAATCTAGAACGCCTTTGCCACGGTGTGTAATTGAAACAGACCAAATTAACGTGCTAAAGTGTCGCGCTTAGAGTAGTAGCATCACATTATATACTACGCTTGAATCTCATACATATACGCCAAAACAATTTCTTTGTTAAAAAACTCGGTAGAACTTTAGACTGTTTAGTGTAAAAATGTTTTTTTTTTGAAGAAATTATCAGAGGGGAGAGATTCCTCACATGAATCTTCCATTGAAAATGGAAGTAAACATTACTCCTTCCGTAAAAAAAAAAGACAATCTGAACATGCAAACTCAGGGTTTGTCTTTTTTTTGGACGGAGGGAGTAGGTTACAAGGTTATATATGAGGTCGGGCACAGCCAGCGGCATGTCATTACTGATCATCAGAATTTACGGAGCGGGATAAAACATTTTTTCAAGCTAAAACAACAATTCTAGACGTCCAGTGAAGTCACATGCTTACCAGGTTTTTGATCTATCTCACTTCATTCTACAGCCATGTATCCCAGGACGAGTCTATCTAAAAGAGGTTTCGAGGAGCGCATCATTTTGAGCCTGAATGCTTCTTATTCCCAAACCTCCTTGCTGTTTAGGGCGACAGACTTGACTACTATCTCCATTTCAGGTTATCTAGCATTATCCACATTTATATAGATATTAATGAATGTGTCTAGATTCATTAACATACATAGGAATATGGACAATGCTAGAAAGTCTTAGAGCACCCGCAATGGTAAAGTAAGGTGCTCTCTAGCAATAGACTAGATTAATAGTAAACCACCTCAATAGCATGTCTACATGGGTATCTATAGCTCTCTAATGCATTGCCTCGTTTTTCTCTATAGATTATCTCTAGGTTAGTAGATAGCTTTGCTCTCTCTCTCTTCATTTAATCTCTTCCAAGTAGAAAAATATACTGATATGGACCTCTTGTAGAGAGCCTATAAATAACCATTGCGGGTGCCCTTATAATATGAAACGGAGTAAGTACATGCAACAAACGGAGTAAGTACATGCAACAAGGCAGCGTGCTCCAGAACACGAGTCATCTCCTGACCAGGAAGTATCTTCGGCGTTTTGTATTCCGGGGCTGGCTAGAGTTCGTCTGTGGAATGCATGGTCGCTTTGATTGCGAAATGCGAACGTACGCTGCTGGTAGCAACGGGCATCCGTTGAGAGGCCGAAGCGTCATACCCAAACCCAGCTCTCGATCGGTTCATCTCCTAATTGATTCTCCTCAAATCTTCCTTTAATAGTTGCTCGGTGGTTCGGTGTCACTGTCACCTCTCCCCAACCCCATCGCTTCGGCTCCCCTGAATTTCTCATGATGGCAGAGACGGGCGACCAGCACGGTCCAGTGATCGGCATCGACCTCGGCACGGCGTGCTCGTGCGTGGCCGTGTGGCAGAACGGCCGCGCGGAGATCGTGACCAACGAACATGGCGGGCGGGCCACGCCGTCGTACGCGGCGTTCACCGACACGGAGAGGCTCGTCGGCGACGCGGCCAAGAGCCAGGCCTCCCGGAACCCCACCAACACCGTCTTCGGTGAGTCCGTTGTCGTATCGCCCCTTCTCCGTCTTTTTGCATATCGTCTCGTACTCTTTCGACCGGCCCTGACATTCAACTGCCTGCCGTCTACTAGCTACGAAGCGATTGATGGGGAGAAGATTCAGTGACGCGTCCGTGCAGGACGGCCTGAAGCTGTGGCCGTTCAAGGTTGTCCCGGGCCGTGGCGACAAGCCGATGGTTGCCGCGAGCTACAAGGGCAAGCAGAAGCTGCTCGCCGCGGAGGAGGTCGCGTCCATGCTGCTCTCAAAGATGAAGGCAGAGGCCGAGGCCTACATCGGGGGGCCAGTCAAGAACGCCGTGGTCACGGTGCCCGCGTCGTTCGACGTCCTCCAGCGCCGGGCCACCAAGCACGCATGCGCCGTCGCGGGGCTCGACGTCCTCGGCGTCATCCACGGGCCAGCGGCCGCCGCCGTCGCCTTTGGCATCCACGAAATCGCGGGCGACAAGAATGTGCTCGTCTTTGATCTTGGAGGCGGTCATACCAGCGTGTCACTCCTCGCCGTCGCGTCCGGCAAGATCGCCGTCAGGGCGACCGCCGGCGACCCCCACCTTGGCGGCGAGGATTTCAACGGCCGCATGGTCGAACACTTCGTCGCTCAGTTCAAGGCAGAGCACAAGAAAGACGTCGGTCGCAACGCGAGGGCTATTTTGAGGCTCAGGGCGGCGTGCGAGCAGGCGAAGAGGACGCTCTCGTCGGCGAGCTGGGCCGCCATTGAGCTCGAACGTTTGCACGATGGCGCAGACTTCTACTCCACCATTACGCGCGACCAGTTCGACGAACTCAACCTGGACCTGTTCTGCAAGTGCTTGGATCCCATCAAGAAGTGCCTCACGGGCGCCAAGATGGACAGGAGCAGCGTGGACGACGTCGTCTTCGTCGGCGGATCAACCCGAATCCCTCGCGTGCGCCGTCTGATTCAGGACCTGTTCGACGGGAAGGAGCTCCGCAAGGACATCAGCTCTGACGAGGCGGCGGCGTGCGGTGCTGCCACCATGGCCAGTCTCGGCAGCGACGACAGCTTGGTGGACCTGTTCCTATTCGACGCCACGCCGCACTCGCTCGGCGTGGCGGCGGCCGGAGGCGCCATGGCAGTGATGATACCAAAGAACACCCCGATTCCCGTCATGGCGAGGGAGAATACTATCTCCATCCAGCCCAATCACAAGAAAGGTATTGTTATCTCAATTTTCGAAGGAGAGAGGCCACAAGCAAGTGAGAACACTCTCCTCTGCGAGATCGAAACTTCCGGGGGCTCACAGCAAAGCAAAGCCCGGAGTGAAGCTCTCTGTGTCTGTGTGCTTCAGCATCGATGCCGACGGCGTCTTGACGGTCTCTGCGAGGGACAAGGTGAACGGGCATAAGAACCAGATGAGGGTCATGGAACAGAGTCAGCTGAGCAAGGAGGAGATCGAGAGGATGACTATGGAGGCGAAGGAGTACATGGCAGCGGATGAGGAGAAGGAGAGGATCAAGGCGAAGAATTTGCTCGAGGAATTCTTGTAGAATAAGGTAGTGTTTAAGGTAGTGTTTGGTTTGGGAACAGGGTGGGATGGGTTAGGTCCATCCCTATTTTTTTTGGAATGGGATGATTCTGTTTTTTTTGTTTGGTTACAGGGATGGAACGAGCACTGTTTTTTTTGTTTGGTTTGAGGGATATAATGGATGGAATGATCCTATACATTGTTTGGATGGAGAGATGAAGGTGGGATGCTTGATAGGGTTACCTATTGATATTAGTTGGTGAGGTTACCCTTAACTAGTCATGAATACCACACAGTGCAAAATAATACCTACTCATGAACACCACACTATTTGAAAATGACCATTGTGAATTTGTTCGCAAACAATATAGCTCCATAAGTTATTAAAAGAATTTAATAAAACTTCATGTATGCCCATACTAATTGCTGCAACAGTATAAGCTCCACAGTGCACATATAATACAAGCCACACATAATAATAGCAAATTTTAGTCTTACACATATTAGCAACTGAAGGTCTTACACATAATAGCACATTTAATTCTTGCACATGATAGCAATTTTAAGTCTAGTAAGTTCTCTGCCTCAAACATATTGGCAGTTTAAAGTCTTACATATAATAGGTAAATAAGCCAACCAACAACACATAACACCAAAAGAACTATCCAACTCATCCAAGAAGCCTATGTTGATCCAGGGAACTTTTCACTAATGAACATAGCAAACCAATCTTGTTTTCAAATGGAAGTCTATCGAAAGCTCTAGCAATGTGAGGGTTGGCAACCAAATGAGCATAGTAAAATGATCTATGGACCTCCTCAAAACCAGGAAGGGTTTTCAATGTGTCAAATAAACCTTCTGGAAGCTTATTGTCCGGCTCGGCGACCTTTAGTATAGCATAGGCAAGCTTGTCACCAACACTAGTGAATGCACCAATCAGCCCACCATCTTCATTCTCTTGTGTTTTTGCTTTCTTTGGCTTACTTGCAGATGATGCCTCCGCACGATCATCAGTAGTGGCAGGACCATCATTTTCTTCATCATTGTCATCTTGGACATCCTCTGTTCCTAGGACTGAACTTGAGTCCTTTGCATACTTTTCTGTAGCCATGGTGCTACCAAATATTGTAAGCATCTCACCATAGTGTGCAAGAGGTTTGTTAAAATAATCCGCATCAGCCTTGTGATCCTTCATGAAACAAAAGTTAATGTATAAGCAAATGCAATAAAAAGTTATAAAAATAAAGCAAAGAACCCAGAAAATAAGACATATACCTCAATATAACCGTTATAGTGCTCATCATCGAGAGTAATAATGAAGTTTTTCTCATCCCAACCAGCAGCACTCACTTTCCTAAGCCTATTTATCTTCGAGAACTTTCTTTGCCATGTCTTCAAATGGTTCTTAATTTGCTCACCCGTGAGAGTACTATTGAACCTTTTATTGACCGCCCTAGCACATGCATTGAGATGGACTGCCTTGAAACCAGATGAGGTCCTTGTGCCACCAGCAACAATATTAGCTAGGTGAGAAAGCATGAAAGAGGACATAGCTGACCTCCCTTGCCACTGTTGTTGTCCATTTCCTACCTATCATAAAATAAAACAAAAATGTCCATTCAGTAATATATATATCAATAAAATATGCATGCAACAATATATGAACTCAGAAAATAACCATTCAGCAATATATCTAATAAAAAAAATGAGAATTCAGCAACATATCAACCCAAAAAATTACCATTCACCAACATATCAACCCAGAAAATGATCATTCAGCAACATATCAACCCAAAAAATTACCATTCACCAACATATCAACCGGGAATATGAGCATTCAGCAATATATCAACCCAAAAAATTACCATTCACCAACACATCATCCCAGAAAATGACCATTCAGCAATATATCAACCCAAAAAAATTACCATTCACCAACATATCAACCCAGAATATTAGCATCCAGCAACATATTAACCCAAAAATTCAACATTCATCAATTCATCAAACCAAAAATTCAGCATACAACAATACATTTATCCATACAACTGAGATTTGGCAAATGGACTATAACAAGCTGTCCACACGAAATAAATAAATAAAGAAGTTCATAATACAAATGAAATGTAGCAAATAAGGTAGAAATACAAGTTGCATAGCTACATATTACACTCCATGATGGTTATTACGGTCAGCCCACATCTGATCAGCTAAACCCTGCCTGAACTGAACCATCAATGCATGTTCATTCGCTTGGCCGGTTGACGATTCATCAATGTCCTCACTTGACCAATCAGACGGAGCTACAAGCTCATCAATTCCGTCATTTATGACCCAGTTATGAATAATACAACAAGCTACAACAATATCTACTTGAGTTCGAAATGGGAAGAATGGAGTGGCATCATCTAGAACTTTGAACCTCCTCTTTAGTGACCCAAATGCACGTTCAACCGTTATACGGAGGGATGAGTGTCTAAGGTTGAACAACTCCTCATTTTGCACCGGATTATTCCCCCACTCTTTCAAGTGGTACCGGACAGCACGAAAAGGAGGCAAGAATCCTTGTTTGGCTCCATATCCAGCATCAACTAGATAGAATTTTCCTATCATATGATCGATAAGTTGGTCACATTCCTAAATATCAACATTTGTCATGGAGAATTTGATAAACTATAGTAATCTATTACCTTGTGGGACATGAATGCCATTTTCACGTTCCAAAGCATCTCTTAAAACTACAGCATCATGTGCTGTCCCCTCCCAACCAGCCAGGACATAAGTAAACCGAAGATCAAAATCTACGGCCGCCATTACATTTTGAGTGGCATGGGACTTCCTACCACGAAAAGAGGACTCCACATTCTTACGAACAGAGGCTCTAATATGTGTGCCATCAATAGCTCCAATACAATCCTCTTGCAGCTGCCTCGCCCTTCTCGCGCCGCCGCCGCGCCCTGCTCGCGCGCCGCCGCCGCCGCGCCCTGCTCGCGCCGCCGCCTCGTGCGCTTCCGCCGCCGCCACTAACCCTAACCCTAGAAACGGACTCGTGAGGATGAGAGAAAAGAGCGAAGGGAAAAAATAGAAGTGGTGAAAATATGTGGTGGGGCGCGAGGGTTACCGCGCCGAGACGAGTGAGGCGCGAGGCGGAAGTGGGATGGCGCGGTCCGCCTCTTTTTCCCGGATGAATCGGTCCCGAATATTGAAGGAATATTCCCTTTTAGAGCCATTCCATCCCTTCTAGCCTCTCAACCAAACACATCTAAAAATGGGATGATCTCATCCCATCCCGGTATATCCCTCCAACCAAACGCTACCTTAAGCGTCGTGCCATCGAGGACGAGAGGAAAAAGGTGGACGACGCCCTTTCTGCCATTGAAGAGATGATTCAGAAGGTGCACAGCGATCATGTTTCCACCGCTAGAGAGCTTAGCGAGGCTCTGAAGAAGCTCTTGATAGAATGCTCTAGATCCACCATCTATCTATTATATTATTAAGACAGCTCGAAAAGAAGGCACCACGTTCACCGTGGAGGTTAAAAATTCCCACGTTAATCGAAGAAAATATAAATTATTTACACCGTTGGATTGTAAGAGGCATAGATTTCAATGTCTAAGATTTAACACAAACTTGGCATGTTAACTGAATTAGAATCAATCTCTAACTAGGTCCTTTACATGCAAACGGACTCAAAATAGTTTTGTCCGATTTCCTAAACTTAAGTTAGGTTCTAAATTAGTTAGGCTATAATGTATAGTAGCAACGGAAATCCACAGCATCGGGTCGAGCCGCGCGGCTGCACGATGAGCAGGAATTGGACGATGCACGTCAACAAACAGAAGGAACAATGGCATGTGCACAGCAGCTAGCCAGGTGCACACCTTAAGCGATACAATTAAAATGTTTTCGTTTGAAAATATGGGTTCCAAAATAAACTAAAAAATAAAATTTGTAACAAAAATATAATACCAATAATAAATATGTAAATATTCTTTGCCAAATATGTATATATATATATATATTATTAAGATAGCTTTAGAAAATCATCACAGACATAAAAAAACGTAGAAATCTTTATTGTTAAGACAACTCGAAAAGAATGTGCCATATTTATTCTAAAGGATATAAATTATCACGTTAATCGAAGAATAAATTCAAAGCCGTTAGACTGTGGTAGAACCAAATTAGAACGGTGAAGATTGATAACATAAATATATGTAATATAATTGTATCTTTAGAACTAAACAATGGTATATAAAGGAGTACAGTGACATCATTTGAAGTGACATCATTTGACGAGACTTCTAGATATTATAAAAATGAAACGAAACAAGATAATAAACTCTAAAAGTACAATTCTAATTTTTAAAGGTTCGGGACTTTTAAAAGTAAAAAAAACAATGAGAATAATGTTCCAATTTAAAATCTCAATGATAATAAAGAGAGGAGGGAGCATGCGAGCCATAGAATAGTACAATGGCAAAGCCGATAATAGTTTGGTGGGACTTCTAGAAAGTAAAAAAATGAACTCAAACAATAATTATGTTTGATTTTTAGAATCCCAATGATAATAAAGAGAGGAGGCAGCAGACGGGCCGTAGAAGAGTACAGTGGTAGCGTTTGATGAGACTTCTAAAAAGTAAAAAAAAATGAACTCAAACAGTAATTATGTTTGATTTTTAGAATCCTAATAACAATAAAGAGAGGAGGCAGCAGACGGGCCATAGAAGAGTACAGTGGTAGCGTTTGATGAGACTTCTAAAAATATAAAAATGAAACTCAACGAGACAATAAACTCTAAAAACTACCATGTCCTATTTTTAAAGATTCGGAACTTCTAAAAAGTAAAAAAAAACAATGATAATAATGTTCGATTTTAAAATCTCAACGATAATAAAGAGGGGAGGCAGCGGACGGGCCATAGAAGAGTACAGTGGCAAAGCCGCTAACGGTTTGGCGGGACTTCTAGAAATTAACAAATGAACCCAAACAATAATTATGTTCGATTTTAAAAATCCCAATAACAATGAAGAAAGGAGGCAACGGATGGGCAGTAGAGGAGTAGAGTGGTAGTGTTTGATGGGATTTTTAAAAATTATAAAAACGAAACCCAATGAAACAATAAACTCTAAAAATTATAAGATCAAAATTTTAAAGTTTCCAAGGAGAATGAATAGGAATAGTGATAGATCGAGCAAGCAAATAAAGAAAAATGTAACTTTTAAAAACTATAAAATTAAACATGTGGATGATATGGTTTGATTTTTAAAAGTTTTAAAATAATGAGATAACTATTCAATAAAATTTAATTAAAATCATATTAAAAATAGATAATTTTATATGGATGCTAGCCGCGCAATTGCGCGGGCCACCCAGCTAGTTGCTGGAAAAATGATCCCTAACGTTCGCTTCAGATTTATATGCCAGCTAAATTGGAATCAGCAACTGTTTCTCCTAATCTGTTAATGACTTTTTTAACCACTAGATCAACAACTAACAATTTGCGTGTTTTGTACTTTTCTCGTGGGATGAAACAATCTCTAAACATAAAACGAGGATGGTAGCTTATACAATTCACACAAAAAAAATGTTTTTAGATTATGCACTTAATGTTTGATTTCAGAGTAATTGTTGACCAAACTCTATAATACTCCATCCGTCCCATTTTAAGTGCAACCAACTTTGATCGTCCGTCTTATTTGGATTTTTTTACAATTAATATTTTGTTATTATGAGATGATAAAATATGAATAGTACTTTATGTAACACTTATGTTTTTAATCTTTTTTTCAAAAGACTTTGAAATAAGACGGATGATTAAAGTTGGGCATGAAAGATCATGCCTTTATCCTCGCATGGAAAAAAATTGAGCAAATGTACAAAATGCACCAATAAAGGTTGTTTATGGAAAGAAAAAAATTAATGTCTTAGAAACTGCCTATCTACAAGAACTAGCAATATACTGTAAAAGAAAATGAAGTTGACCAAGAAAATTAATAATTTTTAGTGTGCCCCACGAGAAGAGAAGAATTTTGAGGGTTTACCTAGTTGCACAATACACTGAAGATATGAACCTGTACTACTGGTATCCTATATATCTTCAAAGATACTCCCTCCGTTTCAAAATATTTGACACCGTTGATTTTTTAGTATGTGTTTAACCGTTCGTCTTATTCAAAAAAATTTAAGTAATTATTTATTCTTTTCATATCATTTGATTTATTGTTAAATATACTTTCATGTACACATATAGTTTTACATATTTCATAAATTTTTTAATAAGACGAATGGTTAAACACGTGCTAAAAAATCAACGGTGTCAAATATTTTAAAACGGAGGGAGTATATGTTATTGTTAAACTTTGTTAACATGTACTCCTTCCATTTTAAAATATAATAACTTTCAGCTATCAAGAACAGGGTTAGTATTATGCTTACTACGCATCATCACATGTCTCAATAAATTGATCGTTGGCAAAATCGGTTAGTCGTCCTTATTCTTATTCCACGGTTGATTTCCTGAACTAACCTGTCAAATAAAATATTCCCAAAAGAAAAACATGTCAAACGAAACCGACACGAGTAATAAATGGTCAAAAGTGCAAACTAGGAGTAGCAGATCAGCACAAGCCTCGAAACGTACCGATTGTTCCGTCGAGAAGGCGACCCAAGTCGCCAAACGCGAAACCGGTAGCTACGGCTTCCGCCCTGGCTCGGCCTGTTGCTATCCACGGCTAAATTTTGCCCCAGCATTGACAAGTGACAACTCCCCCCGGACGCCAAACGCCCAAACCTCCGCAAAGAAGGCGCACGGAACCATGGGCGCGGCCTGGGGGCCCCCTCGGCGCCCGCCCCGCCTGCCTACCTCGAGCGCGCGGCGACGCATGTGATGGCGGCGGCTCGACCCGACGACGGCAACTTGCACAGCCCTCGTGATGTCGCCCGCGCCACGCCCCCGTTTCCTCCGCGACCCCCGCGCGCGGCAGCCGCGCGCACCCGACGTGGGGAGGAAACGGAACGCGACGCCGCCTGCCCACGCTCCCACCACTGGACGGATGGATGGGTGGATTTCCCATCCGCCGGCGCGTCCCAATCTCACGCGCGCGACAGGGAGGCACCGCACCGAAGGCGAGTCCCCGAAGCCCCAAGCTCCAAAACAAAAAAAAAAAAGAAAGGAAATAACCCCGCGGGGTAATACATGAATCTCCCGGGGGTCCAGATGCAAAAAGAAACTCGCCTTTCCCCGTTTTCAAAACTGACCCCTCCTCTCTCTCTCTCTATCTCTCCTCCTCCCTCATCCTCCTCTCCTCTCTGTGTTTCTCTCGTTCCTCGCTTCCTTCGCTTCGCCCCCCTTCTGGCATCCTTCCTCGCGCGGCCTCTCCCTCCCATGGTCCTCATGGCCGCCGTCGACGACCACGACCGCCACCGAGCCGGCAATTCCTCGTCTCCTTCGGAGGATTCCCCGGCTCCGGCTCCGGCTCCGGCTCCCGCTCCCGCTCCGCCGCAGCCGTCGCGCACGCGGCTCCACAGCTTCTCGTTCCCCACCCTCAGCTGGGGCACCCACCGCCTCCTCCGCTGCTCCAAGAACCCCGCCTCGTCGCCCCCTCCCGCGGCGCCGGACACCCCGTCGCCGGACAAGGAGAAGGCGGCCCACCGCTCCACCGACGGCGTGGGCGGCGGCTGTTCGCCTCAGCGGGGTCCGCAGCGGCCGTGGAACCTCCGCACCCGCCGCTCCGCCACGGCCGCGCCGCGTCCGGAGGGATCGGACGACGCGGCCGATGCCGCGCCGGATCGAGCGCCATCGCCGCTGGCGGCGACCAAGAAGCGGGTGTTCTCCATCGTGCTGTCCAAGGAGGAGATCGGCCAGGACTTCAAGGCGATCCGCGGGACTCGCCCCCCGCGCCGGCCCAAGAAGCGCCCCCGCACCGTGCAACGCCAGCTCGACGTAAGGATTCAACCTATGGGCTTGTAAATTTGCAAAATTTTGGGCATCCAAGTTCGGTGTTTGATTCAATTTCCTTCTTTTTTGGGAATTGCAGTTGCTGTACCCTGGATTGTGCCTAGCGGACCTGACGCCGGAGACATACAAGATTGAAGAGGTAAGGGGTCGTTCGATGTGTTCGTGTGGTTGGGTTCTTTTCTTTGCTTCGCTCTGATTTCTGAATTCTGAACGTGTGTTTTGGTCTTGCAGAGGTGATTGGTGTTATTTGTGAAAGCTCCAATGGGAGGGGATTTTCAGATGTTCTGATATCTTTTCTCTTCAGATGTTCTGATCGTTTTCCTTTTGTTATGTGATCATGGGCTAACAAGGTTGCTTCAGAACCGTAATGTTCTGGACGGGTTAGGGGAAGTTTAGTTGGGAATCTCCTCTAATTATGTATTGGATGTGGTTGTTGAGGAGTTTAGGTTGTGGAAATTGATTATTGGGCTTGTAGGATTGTTAATTGTATAAAGTGTAATCATCTGTACATTGTACTATTAATCTATGAAGAATTTTCGTTATTACGAAACTATGAGAAAGTTATTTAATATTGCTTCTTCTTGTTTTTCGGCGAGCCGTATTGCTTCTTGTTTTAGCATGTTCCCCTAGTAATAATAGTGTTTTTGTGCATTTTCTTTTGCTTGTTGATGGTTGCTTGCTCGGTAAATTGTCCTAGTAAACATGAAAATATTGTTCCATTGCATGCATCTGAAGAAGCTGCTTTGACTTCAATACAATAATTCGTGCATTGTTCTTTTCAGTTAACAGGGGAAGCTCATGCATAGTTTTGCTTTATTATGCCAAATTCTGGCTTGTTGTGAAAAAGAGAAACTCTGCTTAAGTCTAGTTTGCTTTTATATTGTTAACGCTGATGCATCCTGTGGAGTGTTGATTTCCTTTCCTTTTACGTTCTAATATTGAGATTATATTGTTATGCATTTGGTGCTTGTTTGGAAGTTTTTATTCCTACTGGTTCACTGTATTGTTTCAGTTCAAGACTTCTAGAACACAAGCATCTGTACGGACTTATTCTTTATATATCTACTTGCTACTCAAGGTCGATATCTGCTTTGTGTAAAATGCTTGTTATCTTGGCGTGTTGTGGACAAAGCTAAAAATTCTATAAAAAAAAGGTTCCAAAACGTTCTATTGGGTGATGAGTTCATGTAAACTTATCCTGATACCCTTGTTTCTGTAGTTATGTGATGTTACATGTACAGCAATTTCGTTTATAATCTTTTTCCTATTTCAACATTAATAGGATATAGTGATAATAGATATTTCCTTGGTTTTGCATACTTTGCTGTTTGACTCCAAGTAATGTGTGAGCTTGAGGGATCAGTGTATTGACTTGTCGTTGTCTGTCAGTCTGTGTATAATTCTTTTTTACAATTTTTCTAGAGAACTTTGAAGTGCTTGAATTTGTTTAACCGGCTTTGAAAATTTTGGTGCTGGTGTTTCGTTGTGTTCAGGCTTTACTCTTTTTAAGCTGTTATTCAAGTTCCAGTGTCAGCTTCCTGGGGAGAAAAAAATTCAGTGACAGACTGACAGATGGTCTATTTGTTTCTGCTATTGCTTCTGCTCGAGCTAAACAGGTCGGTATCTCTTATCTAGAAAATGCCTTGTTATGTACCGTAGCTTTGCTAAGGTCGAGCCTTAGGCATTTCGTTTAATTCGCGAAAAGAAAATTTTCAGGTATCGCATCAGACGTTTGACCGGATGTCGGAAGGGGTTTTTGGACACGAATGAAAAAACTAATTTCATAACTCGCCTGGAAACCGCGAGACGAATTTATTAAGCTTAATTAATCCATTATTAGCACATGTGGGTTACTGTATTACTTATAGCTAATCATGGACTAATTAGGCTCAAAAGATTCGTCTCGTGATTTTTACGCAAACTGTGTAATTAGTTTTCTATTTTATCTATATTTAATACTTTATGCATGTGACAAAGATTTGATGTGATGTTTTTGGGAAAAAAATTTTGAGAACTAAACAATGCTTATTGTGTGGATTGTCTATACTTTTGCGAGTCGTAATTTAGCTTTTTAAGCATGATGTGACTTCAGGATTGTATTGTACTAATTGATTGGTCCTTTTCTATGCATTATTCTACATGTTTTCTTGCATCAAATCAGACAATTCTTGATATTTATATAGTAAAACCTTTTCATCTATTACTATTCCCTCCGTCCCATTTTAAATACAATCATGTGTTTCCGTGTCCAACTTTAGTCTATCTTATTTAAAACTTTTTTATATGATTGATATTTTTATTGATACTAGATGATAAAACATGAATATTATTTTATGTGACTTATGTTTTTTATTTTTTTTAAAAAATAAATAAGATAAACTATTAAAGTTGAACATGAAAATTTATGGTTACGTTTAAAATGGGACGAAGGGAGTACTTTTTGCTAGGTAGTTGTGGTCTACTGATTTGAGCTCTAGCCATCATATATTCATGCTTATCTTCTTCTTTGAGAACCGAAAAGTGTGACTTGTTCAAGAATCGTTTTGAGCCGAGGGTGACCAGCTCATGTACCGCAGAATGAAGTAGACCCACTTATCAAGGCATTTAAATATACTCTAATTGTCGTTCTAATAAGTGGTGTTCCTTTTCGCAAATCAAATACGCAGTATTTACAGAAAAAAGTCTTCGTTTATTGGGAAAGAATCAATATACTTTTAATGTCGAATCGGGATTCACTAAGACAGAAATAAAGCATTGGGTCGAACTCTTCTTTTGTGTTAAGGTAGTAGCTGTGAATAGCCATCGACTACCCGGAAAGGGTAGAAGAATGGGCCCTATTCTAGGACATACAATGCATTACAGACGTATGATCATTACCCTTCAACCGGGTTATTCTATTCTATTTCTAGATAGAGAAAAAAAACTAAAGGAGAATACTTAATAATATGGCGAAACATTTATACAAAACACCTATCCCGAGCACACGCAAGGTCGTACTTGTCGCAATGCAAACTCGTGTATTCCTTTGCTTGAAAATGAAAATATTAATCTTTGGTTAACCGGTCACCGGTGTGCTCCGCTGGGTGCTTTTGTTTACGATATATCGCAATTTGCAGGCGATCCCATAAACTTTTATATAGTACACCTGCTTTTCCTTACTGTTTGTAGAAAGCAATGGCAATGGCTTGAGCTTAGGCATGTTTAGCTCACAACTTTTTTCTTTAAACTTTTAACCTTTCCGTCACATCGAATTTTCTTATACATATAAACTTCTAACTTTTCCGTCACATCGTTTTAATTTTTTTAAACTTTTAATTTTAGCGTGGAACTAAATCTAGTTTCAGCTTTAGCAAATTGCGAATCATGAATTGCTCCATTTGGTTCGTGGCCTTCTGCTATTCTGAGTGCCGCCGTATATTTACTATTTCTGTATTTCACGACCACGTCGTCGATGGTAGCGAACTGAGTCAGCGGTCATCGAGTTGTGAGAAAAGTCGTGAAGGACAAAGGAGCGTGGAGGCGAAGAAACAGAAGCAAATGATGCGTCAGCCAGTCAAAACAACACGTAAACGGCTACACAACACAAACGCGTATGCGGTGACGACGCGAGAGAGAAAACTCGGCATTCTCTCTTGAAGAAACATGCATGGTGGATTGGTGGCTTGCCACCGGTACGTTCTGTCCTAACGGGCCAAGCCCACCGCTATACCGTGTTTGATAGGGGTGGTTCGACACGGGTAAGGTAGAGCCGAGACGAGCAGTGACGAGTTGTTGTCACAGCCCATGTCATGCCATGTACATAAGTCTAATTTACTTCCCTCAACTATTGTCCTTGGTCGAATTGCATCTCTCAACCGCAAAACTGGGAATATTGCATCCTCCAACTTCAAAAACGGGTGCGAATTGACTTCTTTGGTGGTTTAGAAAGTGATTTTTTTTGTTGATGTGGCTATTTGATCGTGGTTACACTCGCTAAATCAGCATGGGCTACAGTGGGACACATGTGTCAGTGCCCACTCCTCTTCTCCCATCTCTTTCTTTTCCCCTTTTTTCCTGACCAAGCCAGGTTGCGGAGGTGATTGGCGAGCCCCTCCGAGTGTGGCCGCTCGTCCACCATCGTCCCAATAGAGGCAGCCAAGCCACGGGAGTTCAACACACCGAGGATGGGCGAGCTTGAAGCTCCCAGCGACCCCCCTCCTATAAGCGAGCTGACGGGCTTTGGGAGGCCACTGCACCGCGGGAGGTGCGGGAGGTCGACAGAGTGCTTACCGCTCATCCCCCAAGCCGACCTCTCTCCCCATCTCCTCCGTCACGTGCGCGAGCTCGAAGCTCCTAGCACTCTAGCAGTGAGTCAAGGGGCTTTGAGAGGTCAACGGAAGCCACGACAGCATGGGAGCTTAAGGCGCTCACTGCGTCATCCCAAGTCAGCCCTCTCTCCCTATTCTCCAGCGACACGCACATGAGTTGCTTGAAGCTCCCAGCGACCAACGACGGGGTAAGGGGCGTCGGAAGGCCACTATCCTCTCACAACACCGACACAACTGCCGCCGCTGCCGACTCCACGGAGAGAGTCACTTGTGCATAAGGATACTTCCGCTACAACCGGAAGTTCCTGCCTCAGGATCGGAATGGGTAGGATCGATCCATTTATCCACTAAATCTATCTGTAAATTTATCCTAACGGATTTTTAGGGTCGCTCCAAAAATATAAATGGATTAAACGGCTCAAACCATTAGAACCTAGGTTTAAGGAGTTCGGCACAAAATAACTTCACATGTATAAATGTTCCAAAAATTTGTACAAAATTGCTTCTCTATATAATAAATCATTCCTACAAAATTCAACTAAATTTAACAAGTTTTCATAGTGTGAACATGAGTTTGAAATTTTTTGGTCCGAGTTTTACACACATGTAACTAGAATTTTGAATCTTAGTAATGCATCGTGGGCCCTACATGTCTAAATGACTTAAAAATTTGAACAAAGTTGCTTCTCCATACAATAAATTATCTCTACAAAATTCAACTAAATTTGATAAGTTTTTATAATGTGAACACGTGTTTAAAAATTTTGGACCCAAGTTTTACATGCATGTAATAAGAGTTTTTTTTTTGTCTACTAGGAACGTAGATGATCCATTTGGATATTTATGAATAAACTATTGATATAATGGACTCATGATGGATTAACCCTATTAAACCATGGATCAATAAACTCAATTGAAACGGTTTAGGTTCGATCCATATCCTAACCATTCCCATCCTGATTCCTGCCGCAACCGAGAAATCCCGACGAGAGGAGGCGGCTGGTGGGGAGAGAGGCTCGTCCCCTCGAGGAAGATGGAGGCGGAGAAGTCTTGGAGGAGTAGGTAGAGGCCCTAGGTGATGGTGGGAGCTCGGCAAGGCGTCCCGTCAAGGAGCTTCGTGCATGTGCTGCGTCAGCGTCGGCACCGATGCATCTTGGTGCATCTAAGGAGGACGCCCTTTGCTTCGCCGCGAGGATGCATTGGGCGGAGCGTAGCGTCGCATTGTCCACGGAGAGCTCGTCGAGGTGGCTGGTGAGGACCTTAATGCACTTGGAGTTGT